TAAACGGTCAGGCAGAATTAATTTGCAGGACATTGCCTACACCCCGCACCTCCCCTTTAGAGAGAAACAATAGCACTATTAAGGATATAGCTCAACCGTAGAAAATGCTTTCTTCATATGTGCCATTCAGTCTTTCCGATGGTTTTTCTTTTATTTTAGCATATATTCATTGTACGTGGCATTGCATTGCATAAAGATATCTTTATGCAAGTAGAAATTGTAGATTAGGAATGTTGCCCGTCCTCCTCTCCCTTTTCTATCTCTCACCTCTCATTAGTCCCATTTTTTGCTCTCACATCATCTATATCCATATGATTTTATGTATAAAATCTAGGCTCTTTAACTAGTCCTTAGAGCAACAAAATGGAAGGAAATAGGCGAGATATGGCAAATTCATAAACATAGGCTGCACTTAACCTGCAAGATGTCTTATCTGAGAACCACGTCTTCCAGACCTACATCTCTGCAGGTAAGGAATCTGAGCTCAGTGTTGGGGAAAGAACTTGTCCAAGTCACTCAGATGACCAGTGGAGTTGGAAATAGCCTCCAAACAACCTGAGTGCTAGGATAATAACTTTCAAACGATGAAACTAAGCCACCTGCCTCATACAGCGAACAAAGGGAGGGCCAATGGCATCCCACTATGGCTTTCTAATCCAAGGTTCTACAGAGTCCCAAGAACAGAAACTCCAAACAAGAAGAGACCGCTCCATGCCCACGAGGGTCAGTTTAATCATCTTGTCTCCTTGGTTACAGCTAAAAGCTGCTTCTCGGGAGAGCAGGAGCTAATTCTTTCTCTCCCAATTATTGCTTCTACCCTATAATCTTACATCAGATATCACAGTCATTCACTGAGCTCACTCACAGAAGGTGAGCCTGGAGTGGATAGGGTAGGGGAGTAAAAGGAGGGGAGGAGAGGAAGAAATAGACTTTCTTAATTCTGTGGTTAAAGATCGGCGATTGGCTCAACCATTTGAAGTACCTGAGGCTGTGCCTCCTGGTATGGTCCCGTTCTCAACACGCTGTCCAGAGAGACATCCTGTTCCGATACCCTGCAAAGGCATGCCTCTGCAGCCTGTAACTTTCTTGCAAAGGCATCCCTCTGCAGCCTGTAACTTCCTTGCTGTATATAAGTCCACCTGAACAGTCAGTGCCCATTTTGCAGTCAAAATAATAACACCACTTACCCGTGGACGAGGTATTCACTTTGTGAAAACTACTGAATGATTTCCGCTTGTTGAGGTTAATTCCTGTGTCATATAGTAAACCACGGTAAAGCAAAACCATCACATTAGTTCCTTTTCTGTGGCAGTGATAAAATACTATGCCAAAAGAAACTTAAAGAAGGAAGGGTTTTTTTCCAGCTTATGGTTCCAGAGGGATAGAGTCCTTCACAATGGAGAAAGTAAGGCATGGCAGCAGTAACAGGAAAAGGACTGACTACATATTTCATCTGCACACAGGAAGTGGGGCAAGTTCATAAACCCTCAAAAGTACCTGCTACCAAGCTTCACAACCTGAGTTCAATCCCTGAGAACCATGTTAGAAGGCAAGAACCCACTTCACATTTTCTCTAACATGTTCCCATGGGCTCATGTGAATATACCCACAACTATATGAATAATACTTTAAAATATGTTTAATGGAATACTTAACGTATGAAAGCTACTGTGTTGTGTGATGGGGACACAGAGATTACCAAAACATAACCTGCCCCCCCAAAGCTCCCCATCAAGTGGCCAGGTAAACATATGATTGCAGTGTGGTGGGACGATAATAATGGCCTCCATTTCTTAAGGCCTGGCCACATGCCAGGCACCAGACTGAGAACCAACATCCATCATCTCCTTTCATCCTCGCAACACCCTTAAACCGTAGAGGATTTTCCCACATCCCTTTCATAAGCAAGTAAGTTCTGGCTTAAATTAGCCATGTGCATTGACTAATGTTACACTTTCATCCTCTAACTGAAGTGTAGACAAGGTAGAGATCGTCCACAAATAAAGGAGTAATTGGTGATGCTAGGAGTGCATGCAGGTCATAGAAGCAGGGAAAGTTCAAGCTGTATCTAAAAGGATTAGGGAAAGGGTTGTCCCACAACAACCCTTTGGTTTTATACGTTTATGTAGGGGGCTTTGTTTTGTCTTGTTAAATTTGCTTGCTTTGAAACGACTTCTTGAGTAGTCTGGGATGACCTTGAAATTTTGATCTTCCTAGCTGCACCTCCCAAGCGCTGGGATTTCATGGTATGCATCACAAGGCCCAGCCCTGGCTGGAATATCTTTCAAAGATTTCACATGCTTTTACCTCATAATTCCACATTAAGGACTTATTGAAGGGGAACACCCAAAAACAGGCAGGAAAGGGGGGGGGAGTCTCTCCTAAATACTAAATAAGGTGTTTAGTATTTAATAGTATTGGAAAACAACTCATTTAACAAGGGAATAGTTAAATCTACTATGACCCTTCTGATCAGTGGACTACTAATGCTATCAATGAAAAAGTTTAAGTGACATTAAGAAGACTATATAGCACCATCAAAAATACAATGAGAACAGAAGAATTCTAGGAAGGAGGAAGCCCATTCCTCCTAGTCCTGCCCAGACCTTGGAAGAAGCAAGATGTGACCTGCTCCACTGAAAAAGGTACCTAGCCACGTGGCTAAAACAGATAATAATAATGGGCTAATAATGGGTTGATATAAGTTAATAAGAGTTAGCAAGAAGCCTGAGCCAATGGGCCAATCAGTTTATAATCTTATGGAGACCTCTGTGTGATTTTCTTTGGGGGCTTACCGGCTGTGGGAACTGGGCAGGACAGAAACCCCAACAAGCTGGCCCTCATGTTACACTTATACGATGTCAAATGATAGAAACAAGATAGCACATTGCGTTTTCACTATTAATGCAATTATGGAGACCTTGAGTATGCACAGATGGGGCCAAAAGATGCATATCTATAAGGACTTATGTTCAAGATATTGGATGGGGTGGGTGGCTGGGGAGATGGCTCACCTGTTAAAGGCACTGGTCATCAAGGCTGATGACCTGCGTTAAATCCCCTGAATCCCACAGGGTGGACGAAGGGAACCGACTCTGCCACAAGCTGGTCTCTGACCCCTCCACTCCTATTAGGAAGCCTAGCCACAGCATGGGTGTCCAGGAACATATAGACACAACACTTAATAACTAAGTAGAAACTCAAAAATTAAAGTTATGGCCAAGTGTGGTGGTGAACACGTTTAATCCCAGCACTCAAGAGGGAGAGGTAGGTGGGGATCTGTGAGTTTGAGGCCAGCCTGGTCTCCATGGGGTCTTCAGGCTACATGGTGAGACTCTGCCTCAAATCAAACAAACAAAACATAAAGTTATGGGATCTGGGGAAAAGTTTGTTGTTGTTGTTTTTCCTCCATACATCCTTTAATATTAATAGAGACAGGAATAAGGTAGTTTCAGTTTTAGACAGGTAGGTAAGGATAAGAGGCCCCTGGAGAAGAGAAATCTTTGCAAGCTGGCAGAGCTGATTCTCAGTGAGCTACAGGCAGGCAGAGGCATGAAGGTAATCTCAGGAGACCTCTGCAGATTAGCAAACCAGCTATCCAATGAACTCCATCTCAGCACTGAATGCAAAAGCTGCAATAAAGCCAGGCGGTGGTGGCACACGCCTTTAATCCCAGCACTTGGGAGGCAGAGGTAAGCGGACCTCTGTGAGTTCGAGACCAGCCTGGTCTACAGACCTAGTTCCAGGACAGGCTCCAAAACCACAGAGAAACCCTGTCTCGAAAAAGCAAAAAAAAACAAAAAAAAAAAAAAACAAAAAAAAACTGCAATAAAAAATGTGGATTTAGCCCAATGTTGTAAATTCAGCTATGGAGCTCTTCTGCACAAGAATGCTGGGCTGGGCTGGGCCTTGAGAACAGAGGTCCTTCTCTCCTGAGATTTGCTCAGAAGCTGTGCATATGAAGAAGCCTCGACTTACAAGGTAACAGCTGGCCACAAGCCTTTGCTCCAATAGTGGAGGACCTCTAGTCATTGCTCTCCTCGCTGTTTGGCTCTATCTCCCCTTTGAAGTTTCTCAGCAGGCTTGAGGCCCCTCTTTCTCAGGCCATGCTGTCTTTATCTTCCGCCCAATCAGAGTCCCCACGCCCATTTAGTTCATCCAAACGGAAGCCTCCGAACTCAAGGCTCACAAGGGCCTCAAAAGTCCTCTCCCTTATAGAGAGAGCTGCTTTTCCACTCAAAAGCACTGTGTGCCTTTCTACTCTCTTTGCTCCCCATTCTTCAAGATTGTGAGACCGTGAACCTGGGAGCCACTGGCTCAGAGTCACTAATGGGGCCGTAGAGATTCTGAAGCCCTGGTTCTCTAGGTTAAGCCCACCCAAGGTAAGGTTTATTTGCATTCAGAGGCCCTCCTCCCAGCCTTATTATGGGATATTAAAGGGAGATTTTCAAAAGAGGTCTTAAGCGTTGCCCGATTGCAATGTGATTTTTACTCACTTGTTCCAAATCGTCATTTTCATTGGAAAAATCTGAGATTCTTTTTACAGTGGAGTTAACTATGGAAAACAGTATGTGGTTCTTTTCTGTTTTAGCCCAACTCAGAATCAAGTCGCTTGGTAATTAAAGTAAGTTGAGAATTTGTTTTCTTTGTACATGTTTCAGTGGTCTCAACTTCACCGTGATACACACCAGAAATCACATTTCTGTCAAATGTATGCCCATGTTTATGGAGCTATGGATCTGCACTAAGAGAACTAACAAGCCACATCCCCTCCATTTTCAAAAGGCCTTTCTTCTGGGACCAAACTTGGCTTTGGAGTGTATTTCAAAAGATTTATGTGATGCCATTAACAGAAATCCAAGCCTTGATTTTGATAATGGGTTACTGATGATAGACCAATGTGGATGAGGGAGGGAATGATTTTTTCCATGTCTTCATTTTTTTTTTTCATTTTTATAAAAATGTACTTTATTTTAAAAATGAGTCCATAAAAGTAGAAATCAACATACAAAAATACAGATTACTGCGACATGTTGGCAAAATAGCTCCCAGGTGGACCTGCACGTATGAGGGCGGCTGGAGGCCGAAGTTCAGCCAGAGCCCACTGTTGGCCCTCACTAATCTGCAAACAATAGTTTCAAGTAGTAGTTAGCACTTTAACTACTCAGGAATTGAAGCATAATTATTCCTCTGTTATACTTTTTAAAAATGTTCTCTCATATTGGGAGCAGTGAGCCCCAGATCCTGAATTTCTTGTAAACAACTAGTTTTCCCCTGATCTGAGTGCCTACAGCTGCTCTGAGCACGAGACCTTCAGGAGTTCCTGATGGCAGGAGAGTGGTTTCTGGTGGGTTTGGCTGGGGCGTATCTCTATATAATCTGCCCCTGAACACAATAAAGGGAGCATTCTTGGGGCATTCTGGCTTCAAGGATGACCCGTGTCTCTGTCTCTGTGAGTCTTTGTGTGTTTCAATCCCCAGCCCCTTGGACTGCTTGCGAACTGTATGGTGGTACTTAGAGCACAGACCGGCATGGTGCGCTGAACTTTAGGTCTGAGCAGATAAAGGTACTCCATATTATTGTTTTAACAGTAAGATTTTTTGACGAAAAGGTAATAGAAATGTATTCTGGCTCTGTCATATTCCAAAGAGGTAACTGTCTTAATTTTTTCTTTTTCTTTTCCTTTTCTAAGAAACACAATATGATCTTTTTGCTTCTGTGTATCAGGTGTTATAAAATATGTCTGTTATCAAAAGATTTAATGCCCAATGACTCTTAAAAACTTAGGTGCAGTGCTAGTTGTGCCAGCCGTGCAGAAGTTTCACACATACCTGCTTCTCATGCATTTCTCAGAGAGAGAAATAAGTAGCTCTACCTAAGGACATTTAGATCCAGTAACATCCTGGACAGTTTCAAACCACTGTTGGGAAAGACCACTTAAAAAGAGTTTCAAGTCTGTAGCACAATTAAGAAAAACCCAGAGACAGAAATTGGAGTTCAACCTGAATGTCAGAGAAGCAAAATAGTCAGCCACTGGCTCTTGCTTCTACTTCAGCCCAAAATGGCAATACTACCTCCAGGAATCCCCAGAATGAGACTGCCTGAGAGCTGTCTCATTCCATTTTATATTCCTCTCTAGGGCTGTTATTAAACACTTGTACCAATACCACCTGGTTTCTATGGTAAACTAGTGTGGCTCCTGGAATTAAAGGTGTGTCACTACTATCTGGTCTGTAAGGCTGTTTTACTCTCTGATCTTCAGACAAACTTTATTTATTAAAATATAAATAAAATGTCACTACATTTATCCATTATGTCTAATATGAAAAAGAAGGCTTTGACTAATATGAAAAACCATATACAATAAGTACAATGACTATATATAGTATATAAGGCAATAACTATATCAACATTGTCTAGTCCATTTGCATTTGAAAAATTCAGAGAAAGTACTCTATATCTATCCTATCTATAAAGTCTTATAATACCTATTTTACTTTCTATCATAATTTGCTTTCTGTATCAGGAAAACAAGGAAAGCTATAACTATCTAGTCTTCAACTCCCTCAGAGACCTAAGAAGGAAATAATATTAACTGAATAAGCAGAAAATGCAAGTTTCTCTGCAATGTTGGGGTGTCTACCTTCAGACTAGCATATCCAATAGATTTTTCTGTGAAATAGGATATTCTGAAGGACTATCCCTCCTTATCTTGACAATGTTTAGCAGTCACTTTCTTTTGTGTCCTGCTTGTCCAATTAGGACAGCATACTATTAACAGTTGAGGCAAGGGCATTTTCTTGCTTAGTGGTTTACTTTTGCCACAAAGACAGTAAACTCTATATGGAAGTTTCCTTGATGCCCATTAACTTCTCTGAAAGATTGGTGCTGCCAGGAGCAGACAGGTCTCATTGTCATAAAAAAGAGCCTATGTTATTAAAACATCTTAATGCCATATTGTGTAGATCTCTGAAATGTTTTAAGATAACCTGTCTATCTAAAATATATCTTTGTTTGACCTTGAAAACATACTTAATGTGACTACAAGTTCATTTATAATAGGTGAATAATTACTAAGCTCTATTTCCTTATTATTCTAAACAGCAATAATAACTTTCAAGGACTAGAAATTTGTAAAGCTGACCAGTGCAGCTGTTTCATTTTCTAATCTTCAGGCAAGCTTTATTTTGTAGTCTGAGACTCCACTTTTTTTCCTGGCTGCCCAGACCCGAGTTAATTACCACACTGTTTGGCTAATAGCTTAAATATATTTCTAGCTAGCTCTTACATCTTAAATTAACCCATTTCTATTAATCTGTATATTACCACAAGGCTGTGGCCTAGTGGTAAGGTTCTGGTGTCTTTCTCCTTTAGCAGATACATGACATCTGCCTGACTCCACCTTCTTTCTCACAGCATTAAGTTTAGTTTTTCAGCCTAGCTCTATACTGCCCTGCTATAGGCCCAAGCAGCTCTTTATTAACCAATGGTAATAAAACATTCACAGAATACAGAGGGAAGTCCCACATCACTATTTATTAAAGTACAAATAAAATATTTCCTCATCAAATTTAGGATTCTGGGGACAAAGCATAACCGGGGAACATACATAATACATTAATGGCTACTTCAAAGGCTAGCAGCCTATGATTCTTTCCATCCAGCTCACCAAACATATAGCTTATTGTTCTTCAAAATCAAGTTTTATAAATTACTGAATAATAAAAGAGGTAACAAGTTATGAAAAACAGCATGAAAACTGTGAACTAGGAGTAATTTTTAAAAACTCAATTCTAAATAGACTTAATCTGAAAGGCACTTGGTAGAACTGACTCAAAATTTGCTCTAAAAAGCTATTTTGAAATTATAGACTAACTTAAAGACCTAACACTTGGAATCTGAGAGCTTAGCACTGACGGAAACATCTCTATATTCTTGAAAAAGCAATACTTCATAGTTCTCCCTTACAAATGGTTCTCTAAGCATACATATACAATGAGGGTTAAGGTAAAACCAATAGGAAAGGTAACCAAGGTCTTCAGAAACTGGATTTGCTGTCTGTGTTCCTCATTCCAAAGGAAGGGACTTTATACGTGCTTTTTGCAGAGTCAGTCGGCATTTGATACCCCAAATCTCTGGGCTCTTCTTGTTGTCGATAGTTGGCCTTGCAATGGTGGTAAAATAGGCACAATTAATCTGCAGATGGGGAAGGGAGTCTTTCAATACCTGCAGGGTATTTTCTGGCACGATTCCATAAACTTGTAGTGTTTTTAGTGTGGCGATTTGTCCAAGTCCAAGTAGACTCTGGGGCATTATATCATAGCACCGGCTAAGCGAGAGGTGTTGAAGGTTGTTGAGCTGAAAAAAATCTGGAAAGCAGTCTTGATTTATCATGACATTGTCACTTAAATCAAGGCGGATAAGGTTGGGGCACCGTCTAATTAAGGTACGAAGATCTGTTTTCTGGAGGTTCTTTCGGTAGCCACTGAAGTTGAGCTGGGTGATGGTGGCTGATAAATGTGCCACAGCCGCTTTCACATGCTGTTTAGTAAACTCAAAGCACCAGGAGAGATTCAGTTCATCCAGTATGCAACAGCTGCTTAGCAGATTCACCACAGCAGACTCAGAAAATCCAGAGCACCCACAAAGGTTTAGTCGCACCAAGTTTTCATTCTGGGCAAGAGCATTGACAATGGGATCCGAAAGCTGCAGGCCTTCCAGGCTTAGATTCTGTAACTTGGAGCACTCAGACAGAATTCCATGGAGGCTTGCCACATTTATAACTGAATTCGACAGGTCCATGTGCTTTACAGGAAAAGACCTGAGCCTTTCACTCAGTGGTTGTTCCATAACCGATCGTGGGCAGCGGAAGGCAATCACCCCTCGAGAAAGCAAACGGACAGTCACATCCGGGTGCAGTTTTACACCTGCAAGGTCAAGGGTTTGCCAGAGAGTCCCGTCTTGCGAGAGGTGGTACCATTTTTTACAGACTCTGGAGGCACGGACTAGCGCAGGGAGGCACAGGTAGGAAAAGATCCGAAGGAGCAGCTCATCTGGAAGGGAGTCCCAGGGAATACCTGGAAAGTTCTCTTGATTCGGCTTAGGCCTACGGATGATCACAAAGGCTCTGTCGCTGTCTTCGCTCTTTAGCCATTTCCTTGAAGGGCTCTTGGGGGGGCCGAGGTTTGAAGGCAGTTCATGCGTAATGTTCTTACGGCCCTTCTCCAAGTCAGAGATACTCGCCATGTCTGAGAGCCGTTCAGAAGTCTTACTGGAATCCCGTCTCCACGTGAAGTTGGTGGTGGTGATTTTGCTACTCTGGTCCAGAATCTCCTGAAGTTATTTCCTGTATACTGTGTGCACGGATTCAGGGGTTTTGAAAACCCGCATTAGTTGAAGACCGGCCTGTCTCACAGCCTCCTACTCCGAGGCCTGCAGCGCGACCCACGAACAGCAACGAGCTCCAACGGTCTCGCGCATGCGCACACAGAGTTCCCGCATCTCGCGATGCCCCATCGCCTTCCGGGAATTGTAGTTCTGGGTCTGACTCGCAGTTCGCCCTTCCTCATTTTAATGATTTAAAATTGTATGTGTCTATGTTGGTTTGTGTATATGAGTGCAGGTGCCTCTAGAGCCAAGAAGAGGGCATTGGGTTCCCTGGCGCAGTTGTGAGTCACTTAACACAGAGACTGGGAACAGAACTGTCCTAGAATTCAGATCTCCTGCAAGAACAGAAAGCACACTTACCCTCTGAGCCATCGCTTCAGCCCCCTCTTTTGTTTATGTTTAGACAGGATCTCAATTATTATTTTAGGCTATTTGCGAATTCACAATTCCCAGCCCTCCGCGTCTTGAGAGCTAGAATTACAGGCATGTGCTGCCACACCTGCCTTGTCTTTTTTTCCGTTGTTTGGATCATACAGCTATGAAGACAGAAACACTGACACCGTTGTCTTGCTCTTAGGATTCCCTTTTTACCAACAGTGCTGTCTCAAGTCTGTGATAAACAACACAGAGGTTCCGTTTCTCTTCAGTGTTAGTCTTCTTCCAACATGTAGGGTGAACCATTATACTTAAGATGAAGTAGTAAGCCGGGCGTTGGTGGCGCACACCTTTAATCCCAGCACTCGGGAGGCAGAGGCAGGCGGATCGCTGTGAGTTTGAGACCAGCCAGGTCTACAGAGCTAGTTCCAGGACAGGCTCCAAAACCTCAGAGAAACCCTGTCTCGAAAAATAAAAAAAAAATAAAAAAAAAAGATGAAGTAGTGACCAGAGGTCATTTGAAGAGTCCTCCAGTCTTGTTATTTTATTTTTGCTATCTGTAGAAAGTTGGGTGAGTTACTTCATTATTCAGTGCCTTGAAGATTTTTTTCATTTGTAAAAAGAAACAGTGACAGAACCCACTTCACAGGGTTGTTTTGAGAATTATCAGAGCTATTAAACACATTAATCTGACACATAAATTGCTTAATAAATAGAAAGCTCTATAACTAATGCACACAAGACAAACCTTATAACCAATGCTAAGCAATAGGTTATTTATCTGTTTACTCACAAGGTACCTGAAGACTGGGTTGTGTGTGACTTAGTTCGTGTATTCCTGGTCCTTACCATACATCTTAGACATAGTAGTTACTTAAGAAACATAAGTAGAATGAATTGAAGAAATGCATAATAATTTTTGGGAACTATTGGGAAATCTGAGAGCTAGTCTCTGCCCTTCAGAAGCTTAGGGACATATTCAAATGCGTGACTCTATAAACACTATCAACAGCTGCTTGTGGAGGTAGGGGAAGATACTCACAGGCAGATGGAAGTGGGTGTGGGAACAGATACTCAACTAACAAAAGGAAAACCCAGTTTTCTTGCTAGCTGCATAGCCCGTGGCATATCAGTTATTACCCCTTCCTTTTGACTCTCCCTGAAATACATTTATATTAAGCAGCGGCCAGAGGAACAGAATGAATTATTGTACAGCAATTTCTTCCAAATTGAACTATTCTACCCTGGAAGAAGAGCCTTAGACTCAAGTAAACAAAACTTACAAGCCTCAGGAAATAAAAAACTCACAACATTCAGGAAATCCCTCAAACTTACAAGATTTGCAACGCCCATTGAAAATTATACAAGCAGTAAGCACTTCTATGGAAATTACCAGTCAAACTACATGCCTGGAATTTTTGCAGGGAGCTTTATCATGATGCAGCTGCCCATTGAGTCTTCCACATTCCTGTAGGTAGTAACCCTAATAAACTCATTGATTTCTCCAAGGTGCACTTTGGTCAATTGTCAGTTCCTTATTGGGCTTTCAGTAACTGTTATGGCGTGGCATGTTGGTACATGCCCATAATGCCCACACTTGGGAGGCAGAGGCAGCAGGATCACTACAAGTTCAATGGTAGTCTGATCTACAGAGCAGGTTCAGGTCAGTTACACAAAAATAAAAACAAAACAAAAACAAAAAAATCCAAAATATCAAAAACAAGAAAAAACAAAAAGCCAAAATATCAAAAACAAACAAATCAACTAACTAATACAACAAAACAAAAACAAAAAGCCAGATACCTTGAGCTGAAACAGTTGAAGGTTTGAATTATAGTTTGCCTTCTAGTACCTGAAGTAATGTTGAAGCAAGGCCTTACTGTTTCTTACTGAACTTGCCGTGGTTTCCTTCTAAAAATTAGAGGAATATTTTGTGTGAGACTATTTAGGAAGCTTTTCTATTTTGTGTGAGACTATTTATATAAATAGACACAGTAGATTTTTCCAAAAATAGCAACAGATTTAATAAAAAGTTAATAAAAATGTTTGTGTTGTCCATTCATTAGAGAAACAGTCACTGGGGAAATAGGTAGAATTTCAGGCTCCTATATCAGGGACTCTCAGGGCCCTTATTAAGACTTACTTCCATGAAAATACTTTTCATAGATATAAGTAACAAATATACTTGAGGACAATTATAATTGTTTTCATTGGTCTGATTAGGGACTCTAATGTTATAAGTTAACTCGGATTTTAAAATATTTGTTCTTTTTATACAATTTGGTAATGATGTTGAAGAGATGGAGAATATTGTATTTGGATGGTTTTCAGTGTGATTGAGCCTGGAGGGTTGCTCCCTCCTGAGAATCCAAGCTATTGCTGTTTTTGAAACTCTTGTCAGTTGACTGGTTGGGGCAAAATCTTTTTGTGTGCCCTTGGTGTTGTGTGTTGTCTGTTTTTGGCGTCTTTGTCTCTGTGTATCTGACTGAGGTAGAAATTCTGGGACAGTCCCCCTCCTTACCCTTAGGCATATGTTTAGTTTATTGGAAGGATGTGATAGTCATGCATTATAGTAAGGCCACTTGTTTGTTTCTCAGCTGCCCAGACTCCCAAAATAATCACACAGAAACTATATTAATTAAATTACTACTTGGCCTATTAGCTCTAGCTTCTTATTGGCTAACTCTTATATCTTAATTTAACCCATTTTTAGTAATCTGTGTATCATCATATGGCTGTGGCTTATGAAGTAAAGTTCTGGTGTCTGTCCCTGGTGGGGCTCCATGGCTTCTTCCTAACTCTGCCTCCTTTCTCCCATCATTCAGTTTATTTAGTTTTCCCTGCCTACCTCTATTCTGCTCTGTGCAGACCCAAGATAGTTTCTTTATTAACCAATGATATTCACAGCATACAGAGGGGGATTCCCACATAACCTCCCTGTAGTAATAAGGGCAGTGGGGCTGCGTCCCCAACACCCCAGCCGCCTGCTAGCTTATGCCTGAAATAACAACACACAAACTGTATTCATTTAAACACTGCTTGGCCCTTTAGCTCTAGCCCTTACTGGCTAATTCTGATATCCTGATCAACCCATCTCTAATAATCTGTGAGCACCAGTCTTACTGGGAAGATTCTAGCCTATGTCCATCCTGGGTCGGAGCTTCATCGCGTGTGTCTGCCCGGGAGCAGGGCATGGTGTCTCTCTGAGGCATCTGCTCCTGAGAGGAGAGCTGTGGAGTCTGAGCTCACTTCCTCTTCCTCCCAGTGTTCTGTTTACTCCTCTCACCTATCTTCTAACCAATGAGGGCCAAGCAGTTTCTTTTTATTTAACCAATGACCTTCCTCCATCACCTCCCCTTCTCTGTTTAAATAAAAAAGAAGGTTTTAACTTTAATGTAGTAAAATTGTGGGGCAATATTATACAGGCCCTACATTGTATGTTGGCCAAACGTACAGGCCAGCTCATACATGGCCACGCAGAAGGTAGTCACATAGGCTTTGAGTCAGATGTTGCCATCCTAAAAGGATCAGGATATGCTAATATCACTCTGCTCCTTTCTTTGTAATTATGGAGATTGCCTGGGAAGAGGTGTTAATTCAACCTACGTGACAGAGCTGGCATACAGAGCAGGAAGATAGAAAGCCGTGACAAAATGGACATAGAAAGGCGTGGTCAAAGCTATGGATATGACCAGACATTTGTCTGGTTACCTAGGAAACAGAATGCTAATGAATCCCCCCCCTCCAGTTTACGTTTTGGTATAAAAGCTGTTTGGAGAATAAACATGGAGTGAATTTTCAGGATGTGAACTCAGGATTTCATGAGCGATCACTGAAAACTCCCTCCTAATAAAGCCGTGCGGGTTGTGTCTTTAATCCCACACCTCCCCTCTGGTCTGGAGAAATAATTTATGGTCCGGGCTGGCACTGGACCATAACATAAAATTACATGTAACAGAACAGGTATCAAGCAAGAATTACAGTTACAATATTTATATGTTTTATTTTATCATAACTAAGGAAAACTATAACTATCTATCTATTCTTCAACTCCATCAAAGACTCCAGAAGGATATAATATTACCTAAGTAATCTAGAAGTGCATTGTAAGCAATTTCCAAAACTCTAGAATTTACAGAGACATCTCGCTACCTGTACAGTCACCCAACGTTTTTCTGTACCATTGGGGCATCTGTCTTTAGCCTATAGTCCCATAGTATCTAGCAGACATTTTCATGAAGCCGGAAATTTTAAAGACAGTTTTGCCTGTATTGGCAGTTTGTCAGTTACTTTTTTCTGTGTCCTGAAGAATGTCTTGCAGACTCTTTCATGAAGCAGGAACCCCAAAGGATTGTCTCACCTTTAAGCAAGTTTAGCAGTCATTTTTTGTGGGTCCTGCATGTCCAGTTCACACAGCATACTATCAAGCAGTCCAGAAAAGAGCAGTTTCTTGCCCAAATGGCTAATTAACTCCATAAGGAGCC